GGCTAATTACTTTACAATATTGTAGTGGGTTTTGTCACACATTGACATGAATCAGCGATGGACTTACATGTATTCCCCATCCCGATCCCACCTCCCACCTCCCTGTCTACCCAATCCCTCTGGGTCTTCCCAGTGCACCAGGCCCGAGCACTTGTCTCATGCATCCAACCTGGACTGGTGATCTGTTTCACTATAGATAATATACCTGCTTTTTAATATGCTGTCTAGGTTGGTCATAACTTTCCTTCCAAGGAGTAAGCGTCTTTTGATTTCATGGCTGTAATCACCATCTGTAGTAGTTTTAGAGCCCAGAAAAATAAAGTCAGCCACTCTTTCCCCATCTGTTTGCCATGAAGTGATGGAACCGGATGCCATGATCTTAGTTTTCTGAATGTTGAACTTTAAACCACCTTTTTCACTCTCCTCTTTCACTTTCATCAAGAAGCTCTTTAGTTCCTCTTCACTTTCTGCCATAAGGGTGGTGTCATATGCATATCTGAGGTTATTGCTATTTCTCCTGGCAATCTTGATTCCAGCTTGTGCTTCCTCCAGCCCAGCGTCTCTCATGATGTACTCTGCATATAAGTTAAATAAGCAGGGTGACAATAAGCAGCCTTGACGTACTCCTTTTCCTATTTGGAACCAGTCTGTTCCATGTCCCGTTCTAACTGTTGCTTCCTGACCTGCATACAGGTTTCTCAAGAGGCGGGTCAGGTGGTCTGGTATGCCCATCTCTCAGAATTTTCCACAGTTGATTGTGATCCACACAGTCAAAGGCTTAGGTCTTCAGTGTGTTAGTGTGTTGGTCTGTTTATGACAGAGCATGCATGTGCATGTGGAACTGTGGAATTTTTGTTGGCATGTATGTGTTTTACACTGTTGTGCCAGTTCTGCCTTGCAGCAAACTGAATCAACTGCACATGCACATGTATCCCCTCTTCCCTGGAATTCCTTCCCATCCCGACCACCACAGAGCGCTGAGTAAAGCTCCCTCTGCGGACCGTAGGTTCTCCTTCGTTACCTCCGTTATTCACGGTATCAGTCGGGTTTACGTATGTGAGTGCCAGTCTCCCATACCCTCTCAAACCCCGCTTCCCCCTTGGTGCCTACATGTTTGTGCTCTCTGCCTGTGTCCCTGCTTCTGCCCTGGAACTAGTCTCATCTGTACCCCCTTTTCTATTCGTAGATTCCACATACATAAGTTATACACTGCATTTGTTTCTCACTTTTGGACATACATCCCCCTCTGTGATGCTCTGTAGGTCCAACCACATCTCTGCACATGGCTGCGTTGTGCATGTCCAAGACTCTTGCCTGGGAAATCCCATGAACAGAGAAGCCTGGAAATGTGTATAGTCCATGGGGTGGCAAAGAGTCAGACACTACTTAGCAAGTAAACAACAACAAATGTATCTTTATCCATTCCTCTATGGGTGGACATTTGTGTTGCTTCCATGTCCTGTCTATTGGAAACACTGCTGCTATATATTGGGATACAAGTACATTTTGGAATTAATGTTTTCTCTGGGTGTATAGAATTTAATGAAACCTGTTGGAAGTACTTAATTCTGTCTAGAAGACTCAGGATGAAATTAGAATAGAAAATACTTTGATATGAAGTCACGATCATGTATCTGTGAGCGACTTTCTGTGAGTTTAGTGGTATTCCTTCTTAGAAAATTTTTAATTAAATCTTCTAGCCCTGAAAATGTATCAGACATTCTAGTCAATTTCTTTAGTGGATTAAAGACAGTAAATTTTTTTTGTCTTTATCAGAATTATTAACACATCTTTCAAGTAATGTGTGCATTTTATCTGGCATGTTATTTCTGGTGATATAAATTTGCTTATAGTTTCCTCATGGTTGGTATCTGTTGCATTTGATGTGATGATTGGGTTTTTCCATATTAATATTGGCATCACAAATACATAAGTCACACATATATATGTATATTATGTGTCTATAAATACACATAAATCCACATATGTGTGTTTCAAATTTTTGACATATTTATGCCAGGTCTTTCTTTCAACATTACTTAAGAGATTCCCCATCTTAATTAGTGTTCAGTTGTCTCTCTGTGTATTCATTCATCCATTCAGGCATTTCCAGACCACCTGCGAAGACCAGAGTCCAAAGTATAGCTTGCACTGTGCTATACAGGTCGGAGAACTTAAACATTGCCCTTGACCTCTGTTACTATGAACTAAGCCATGGAAACATTCATGATTGGTGCGTTTGACATTGGCCAGCTGTAGCCCACTTGGAGGTCGTGTGTACATAGGAACTGAAACATTTATTCTGTTAAATATCACTTAGGTCTAGTATTCCTTTCCCAAAACTGCTTGCTTTGCCCCAACCCTTGGAACATTCTGTATCTTGAGGGTGATTGATCTTTCAGACTGTAGATACTTGGAGCACCAAGGGGGAGCTATCTGTCTTTTCTCCCCAAGACAGTGGGAATGGCCTCTCCTTGGAAGCACTACCATCCACTGCTCTCTGAAACACAAGAGGCTGGAGAGCCAGCTCTAGATGCTGTGAACAGTTACCACTTCCTGTCTAGCTGTCAATCATCTTGTTCCTGCCAGCACTGCCCTGACGTCCTGTTACTATGAATCCACCACGGCTCAGACCCTGGCCACCTCTGATTGCTAGTGACCCAGTCCTGAAGTCAAGTCAAGACTTCAGTTCAGTTGCAGAAGCCCAGGTGCTGTCAGACCATGCACTGTTCCTGCTGTGGTCCGTGGCGTGTTACACTCTCTACGAAGCTCAGAGAGGGGAACACAAGTTCTTTCTCTGTAGTGAATGAGATGCTTTCTAGGGACATTGTTCTCGAACAGCCTGCCCCCTCCCATGATAGTAAAAGGGTCCACAACCCTGTCACAGGACGGCTTAGTCCTTTATCTCCTCCCCCCCGCCCCCGGACACCTCTAGAGCATCTCCTTTTACATTTTCTCAGAGCTGTCTCTGATGGAACTCCTATCCTATTATAGGCATATGTTTCCCTATAATTAAATTTAATGTGCATATTTGTGTGTTGTAAAATGGGGACTTTTGGTGCACACACAGGCGACTCAGCTGTATATTAAACCAATTTATTTAAACCCTCAGAAATCACACCCCACCAAGCAGGACAGGATTAGTGACCAGGAGAGATGAGATGGGAAAGGGAGTGTGTGAAGAGAGAAGGATCACGTTAATTAGGAACCAGGAAAGTCATCTTCGTGTTGTTGATCTTGACTCCATGGAGACGAGGACGTGTCTGGGCTCAGGGACTCTTTCTCTAGGTGAACAAAACCGATGCAAAGGTTTAGTAGAGTTGTCTGTGTGATGGCTGACATGAGTGAGCCTCAGGCACTAGGCTGTCCCTGGTGCAAGAGCTGGTAGCTGATCCAGTGTCAGAATCCTGGTGGACCTCACTACTCCACATCTTTATGATGTAGGTGGGGGTCCATGTGGAATTTTCCCCAGGATGTACATATGGAGTGACCTTTCTTATTGGGGGTTGATTCTAGGAGCTGTGATTTCAGAATGCATGCTCAGGCTCTGTGATTGGAGCACATGTCTGTAATTGCACAAATTTTGTGTTTGGGGTCTTCATGAGTTAACTTTTAATTGTTATTTTGTATTGGAGCACAGTTCATTAACAACTTTGTATGACCTTCAAGGCTACAGCAACCTGATTAGTTGATATGGATATATATTAATATCTATTTCTTTCATATTATTTTCCCATTCGGGTTATTTGCAGAGTATTGTATATAGTTCCCTGTGCTATATAGTATGAACTTGTTGTCTATCCATCCTGTATATAACAGTTTGTATCGGCTAACTCCAAACTCCCAATCCTTCTCTTTCCCAACATCCTCTCATTAGGCAACCATAAGTTCGTTTTCTGTATCTGTGTGTCTTCTTCTCTGTTGTAAATAAATCATTTCATGACATATTTCAGGTTCCACATATAAGTGATATCATATAATATTTGTCTTTCTCTTTCTGACTTCGCTCAGGATGACAATCCCTAGGACCATCCACATTGCTGCAAATAGAATGATTTTGTGCTTTTTTTAATAGCTGAGTAATATTCCATTAAATATATGCACTACATCTTTCTTATCACATTCACCTGAAAGCTACGGTTTTCCTTTGCTTTTCTTGTATGTTATTTTTTTTTCCCAACAGAAAATTAAAAGCCACACTTTAGCCAAATCGGTGTCATCTTCTGAGTCTTTCTTAGTTGAGAAATTTTAAAGATCTCACTTTAAGAATATCTTCTCATGAGGAGGGATATAAACCAAATGTACGTTTCAGACAGTGTGGCTGGAAGGCCTTTACTGGTTTTGTCAGCATCGTGTGACATTAAACACTGGTTTTGCAGAAATCCTGAGCTCTCTCTAATCCCAGTTCTCGTGGAGGAGGGACATATGTGGACAACCACGAGGTCAGGACTGACGGGAACACTAAGTATTTTCCACCAACTTGTGGCCATTCTTGCTTCTCTCTGGCCTGCGAGATTCCTCCAGGTTAAGGCTTTCTCACCAAAGGCTCTCAGCATGAATCAACCAACCTGTTTGCAATTTAATATGGCTCCAGAGAAGATAATGTACCTAATGTAACAGACAAAGTTCTCCAGTGATAGAATGTAAGTTATTGCATCAAATAATCGTTACCTACAGCATTTGGCAGGTGTGAAATCACCACGTGTCCTTAATAGTTTATTCAATAGTACAGCATCAGAAACAGACTTACTCTGAGGTTGTTGAAGTCTCTTGGGAACAGGGAGGACGGTCCTCTGGGGAAAGATCAAAAGGACAGAAAAAAAATATTCACCGATTATTACCATTCCCCACTATTTCCAAGACCATTTTTTTTTAAGTAATGAATTATATAAAAGATTTTTTTATGAAAAAAGAAATTTTAAGCAAATTGATTTGTTTCTTGATAGTATATTTACATATCGGGTGAATGATCTATTTACGAAAAAGTATGATTCCGTTACCGCTTTCGATGAAATTCACAACATCTTTGTCTTCAACCTTTTTCTTGTCTATCAGCTCATTGAATATCGCCAAGGCTTCCTCTTCAATGTCTACTTTCACTGGAAAACACCACACAGCAAGCAGAATTTTGCCCCTTAGAACCCAGAGAAATTTTTCTGAATACAGAACAAGAAGTTGACTGTGCAAGTCAGATCTTCCCTTGTTATAAATTAAGCCTCAAACAGTTACCATTTCGCATGACCCCAATGTCTGCAGTCTGTCTTAAGACTTAACCCCTGTCCAACTCTGTACCTAGGCCTCCACCCACCCCCAACATCATCAGCAAGATCCCAACGACTCTCAGGAACTCCATGAATTTGGGGCTCCATGTTTCACGGTGGGAAACCAACTTGCTTCTTGCCCAACTTCCTAGCATCTGTACCTCCATTCCTGTCTTGTTCTGGATCCAAGTAAATAGAAAACAGGGTCCTCCCCAACATACATTGTCACTCACACGTGATAATGGAAGATGATGTATTTTTTAATTAACCACCATTCTACCCAATATCCTTCCTAAAACAGACATATGTTGTTCCAATGGTGTTCACATCTCTCAGTGCTTCTGTGGGGCTATGTGGGTTGATGTCAGTGTTTACAAGAACAAAGCATTTGAAAAATTGAACAGGATGAAGATTTATTGTGTAAGTTTCTGTCTCAAGGCTTAGAGTGGATTGGGAAACTGGTACAAACTAAAGAATTTGAGAGTGGCCTCATTAGAGCTGTGGCTTAAAGTTAATTGAAGTGTTTAAAAAAAGAAATAAACACCAACAAAATATTGTAATTTCCTCCATGTAAAAATTTTTTAATTGCAAAAGCTATTTCTAGTAAAACTCAATTTGTTCCTTGTTTAATGTCAACAGCTGGGAATTTTTTACAAACATCTGGTGATCTGAACCTCAGATATGCAGATGCCACCACCCTTATGGTAGAAAGTGAAGAAGAACTAAAGAGCCTCTTGATGAAAGTGAAAAAGGAGAGTGAAAAAGTTGGCTTAAAACTCAACATTCAGAAAACTAAGATAATGGCATCTGGTCCCATCACTTCATGGCAAATAGATGGGGAAACAGTGGAAATAGTGACAGACTTTATTTTTTGGGTTCCAAAATCACTGCAGATGGTGACTGCAGCCATGAAATTAAAAGACTCTTGCTCCTTGAATGAAAAGTTATGACCAATCTAGACAGCATATTAAAAAGTAGAGACATTACTTTGCCAACAAAGGTTCGTCTAGTCACAATTATTTTTCCAATAGTCATGTATGGATGGGAGAATTGGACTATAAAGAAAGCTGAACACCAAAGAATTGATGCTTTTGAACTGTGGTGTTGGAGAAGACTCTTGAGAGTCCCTTGGGCTGCAAGGAAATCCAACCAGTCTATCCTAAAGGAAATCAGTCCTGGGAGTTCTTTGGAAGGACTGATGCTGAAGCTGAAACTCCAATCCTTTGGTCACCTGATGCGAAGAACTGACTCATTTGAAATGACCCTGATGCTGGGAAAAATTGAGGGCAGGAGGAGAAGGGGACAATAGAGGATGAGATGGTTGGATGGCATCACCAACTCGATGGACATGAGTTTGAGTAAACTCCGGGTGTTGGTGATGGACAGGGAGGCCTGGCATGCTGCAGTCCACGGGGTCACAAAGAGTAAGACACGAGTGAGCGACTGAACTAAACTGAACTGACTGATGATCTGATACTTCCACCCCTACAAGCTCATCTTTCTTGGGAGATTAAGTTCCAGGATTTAACTCAGTGCACATAAAGTCCAAGGTCCTGGAGACTGTATAATTGATGCTGTCACCATATACTTATTTTATGGATAAAAGTCCTGACAATGGCAATGTTACATGACCATGTGGACGTGAATATGATGATATCACACATACCCAATATTCCAACAAATCGTGTCTCCCCACCAAATGCAAACTGGTTGACAACATATAGCACCAGAACATTGTTGGAAGCATAACTGATTCTGAGTTCATTTCTACCGAAAACTGTGAGAGAGAGAAAAGATACAAATATACAACTGTGCTTTAATTTATTGTCAGTTAGATTTATGGTCGCAAATTGAGAATATTAGCAATGGTGCATCATGTGTTGATCTCTGCCTCACTCCGTGGGTGAGATGAATACTATAGTTTTTATGACAGCAAGAAAAGCAGGCAAGACTTTTAATCCCACCTTTCCATACAATTGGGCTTCACTAGTGACAACCCACTCCAGTATTCTTGCCTGGAGAATCCTACGGATGGAGGGGCCTGATAGGCTACAGTCCGTGGGGTCGCAAAGAGTCGGCTTCACTTCACTTCACTTCACTTCAGTGGCTCAGACGATAAAAGCATCTGTCTGCAATGCAGGAGACCTGGGTTCGATCCCTGCATGGGGAAGATCCCCTGGAGAGGGAAATGGCAGCCCACTCCACTATTCTTGCCTGGAAAATACCATGGACAGAGGAGCCTGGTAGGCTACAGTCCATGGGGTCGCCAACAGTCAGACAAAACTAAACGACTTCACTCACTTCTCTTTCACACAATTGACCTAATACTCTTATTAAATTGAGTCGAATATGTTCTCCTGAGGCCATGTAAAATTAGGGAGGTAGTTTAGGGCCATTATAAAGAATTTAGGATTATAAATCTTAGCCAGCATCCACATGGCTTTGAATGGAAGCTGCCTTTACAGTTGAACTCAGGGTTATTTCCTTGGGTTCAAGTTCATCCACCATACCTTCGATGAATTAAAATGTTATAAGGTTGTTTTTAAAAGGTATTCATGTTGTTGTTTGGCAGAAACCAAGTCAGTATTGTAGGCAATTATCCTTCAATTAAAAATAAGTAAGATTAAAAAATGTAAAGGACGCTGATGTGCAGACTCAAGGTAGACCCTTGAGAAAGGAGTTCATAAGGATGTTGTAAGTTCTTTGAGTATGATGTCTACACATGGTTATGCGCATTGAGTAATGCTCAAAGTTGGGAGGAGACCTCCAAGCCGTGTGTTTGAACCCTTGTCTCATGACAAAGTATAGTGCTTGGAAATCTTAGGGACTGGAGCCTGCTCACCCCTCCGATTGTTAGTAGGAGTAGAAATGAGGTGTGTTTGTTATTGAAGGGCATTGTGCCAAGACTTCCACCCAAACATACTCTGACCAGTGAAACTCTCATACTTACTGTAAACAACATAAGTGTTGTCATCTTTCTTTCTTCCCCAGAAATGCATTTTTTCCCAGTTTCCATGCAATCTTAAAACAAAAAATAGTCACGGTGATTGATTTAAGTAATGCAAATATGAGCTATAATTAGGATTTTCTTTGGTTCTCCCCCAAGATTAAGCGTGAGGTGTCACGTTAGTGCCTCTGAGAAATGTGACCTTTGAAAGAGAAGAAATACATTCGCTAAGACCAAGAACCTATCAGGCCACAAGGATGGGTCATCTATGTATTAAATCCGAGCCGTAGTTCCAAAATTAACCAAGACAAAGCAAGTTATATTTAAAGTCAAATGAACATGGAGAAATCTAGAGTTATAGGAAGAAATGAAAAGAATATATCTTTTTTTTATTAGTTGGAGACTAATTACTTTACAATATTGTAGTGGTTTTTGTCATACATTGACATGAATCTGCCATGGATTTACATGTATTCCCCATCCCGATCCCCCCTCCCACCTCCCTCTCTACCCGATCCCTCTGGGTCTTTTGAAAAAAAATACTTCCTGGAAACAGAGGTGTATCCATCGTGACATTGGGGTTCTCAAAACCCGGACAATGTTCATTAGGGAATATGATAGGAAAAACTCACAAAAAGTTAGAGAAAGAGTCTTCTCAAGACACACACCTTTCTTCCATCACAACACCATATAGAGGCTTGAACACTGAAAGACACACGTGTGGATGTGTGCACATTGACACATACACACACACAGGCAAACACACAAGTACACATAATATGCTTATATGCCATAAGGAAGTTACGTATACATAATATAAGAAGGTGTATATTGTCAGGGCTTCTGCGGTGGGTCAGAGGGTAAAGAACCCCCCTCAGTACAGGAGACCCAAGTTTGATCCTGGGTCAGGAACATTCCCTGGAGAAGGAGATGGCTACCCACTCCAGTATTTTTGCCTGGAGACTCCCATGGACAGAGGAACCTGGCGGGGCTACAGTCCGTGGATTCGCAAAGAGTCGGACACGACTGAAGCAACTTAACACGCATGGCTGCATATATTGTCAACTGTATAACAAAAGACTTTGACTTCGTATAATCCATGTGTGATAAACGGTGAATTTGGTCCATAGGAAGATTAGATTAATTAGATGAATTATCAAAATTAGATTAATTATCAGACACCTTTGAAAACAATATCCACAGTGAATTGTTTTCTCTGTTATTAATAAATTGAAGTTACTCAAAACACCTAGAAGTTAGGAACAAAACCATTTTCTATTACATGAAAAATATACACAGTTTTTTACATGCGAACAATATCTTTTCACTTGGCTTGAAAAATGTGACTCCCTGTATATGCAGACACTGAGATAACATTTTAAACATTCTGCTGAGTGTTTAACTGGGGAAAAAATGACTCAAGGTGCATAATCTTGCTGTCTGAGGTTCCAGAAGAGGCGAGAATAAGCAGATCCATTGTTATCTGCGGCTCAAGGAGTAGAAATTAATGGCAAGAAAAAAGAGATTTTTGGCAGAGATGGAGGAATTTTGTTTCTAGACTGTGGAGGTCGTGAAAAGGGTATGCACGTGTCAAAACACTTTGAACTATGCCTTCCACAAAAGTGCATATAATTACACATAAATACACTTCAGTAAGGGGCTTCCCAGGTGGTGTTTGTGGTAAAGAACCCATCTGCCCACGCAGGAGACATGAGACACGGGTTCCAACCCTGGGTCAGAAAGATCCCCCGGAGGAGGGCATAGCAACCCACTCCAGTATTCTTGCCTGGAGGAGCCTGTGGACACAGGAGCTTGGCGGGCTATGACAGAGGGTTTGCACAGAGTCAGACAATGACTGAATGACTTTGCATGCACGCATGCTTTAGTATAGCTGGTTTCTGAAAGAGCAGCTGTGTGAAAATTCAAACATAGAGCTCAAAAATTGCAAAAACAAACAAAAAATCAGCAAAAAGTAAGATAATGATCTTTAAAAATTTAGTGACAAAAAACAGGTATGTTTCCTAGGATAGGATATGTATGTGCGTGTGTGTGTATGAGTCTGTATCAGTATGTGTGGTTGCAATTGATCCTAAGTATACTATCAATACATACATATATATTATATTTATTTATATCTCTATAAACCAGTCACTCCAAGCAGAAATATTATATTGTTTTTTCTTAGTGTTTTTATTCCTCCATATACATACCCAAGTTGGCATGTTCTTAGTAAACCTTCTGCAGTGTAGTGGACATTCCCTGAGTGGTCCTTGGGGCTGTGAGTGTTGAGTAAACACAGTAGTGATGAAAGACTCCAGGACATTCCCTGGAGGCTCACAGAGGAACTGCCCTCCCCACAGCTCAGAGACCCTGCTCAGCCCCACAGCTCAGGGGGTCATGCTCTCAACATCATCCAGAGGGCTCCCTGCAGACTGGGAAGACACACCCTCCTTCAGGCTCGGGGTTTACAGCTGTTTTCCTTCTGGGTGACTTTTACTCAGCACAGACATCGATCTTTATTGTGCCCTACTTATCATCAATTTCAAGTTTAACAAGGGAAAACCCCAATGAGACGTTCTTGATCACTGAATTACTGGACGCAATGTACACGACTCTCAATTTTCCTGAAAGCTGAGAGCGGAAAGTCCCCTTGGAAATTTGAGTCCTTGTCTTTTTCTTTGCTCCAGCATCATGCTTCATGGGTTTCCCATCCCTCGTGCAAAGCAGCCCACGTGGTCTAACTTGACTGAACAAAGCGGGATTCCTAGAGTAATGTAAAACTGAAGTCAGACTGAAAGAAGGAACAGAGACAACTCTGAGAGGGCTTGAGCGCGGATGTCAAAGGCAAGAGCTGCAACAGCTGCTTCACTGATCCTCTTTCTCTGTGGCAAGAGCAGGAAAGATGCATGAGAGTCAATTAATACACAGTAGAGATGATACAGAGATGAAGTGGAACAGGTCTAGAGCCAGTAAATGGGACAATGATCAGTTGGAGAGATACAAGGTGCTGATGGATCCACATAACGAAACCACAAAAGGGGGACACACACACACCCAACACCTCCTCCCACATCAGACCGTCCCTGGTACCTCTGAGACACTTTGCTCAGCTTCCTCTTCTTGGGCAGGACAAGACAGACCAAGGAGAAGAGTCAGGAACAGAGCCTTCATCTTGCGTCTCTTGTGGTCTCTCTTCTGTCGAGGCTGAGGGCGTACCAAGGGTTGGAGAAGATGCAAACTGTGCCACTTTTTATAGGATCGTGATGTTGGCGTGACGCATCATGAACCAATGGTTCTTCCTCCCGAAGACCTTGGTCTTCGAAATCATCTTCAATATCCTGCTTGGCAGGGCTGAGCTTTCATGGCATTTTGTCATTTTAATCATGAGGATTGTTTTAGGAGATGCTTAAGTGACTCTGGACGCTTGACCTTTAGAGTGAGTCAGAAACCACAATACAAATCTGATATTTAAAGGTCAGGGATATTTGTTTTCCTTTATATCTTGAGATCAAACTGGGATATGCTGTCCAGGACACACATCCACCACTCTTGCATTGTTTTCTTAATATTTCAGTTAATTTAAACATTGACCTTGGTCTTTGTTATGATCAACAAAGCCATGGAAATATTCATTACAGATGCCTTTGTCATTGGCCACTTCTAACCCACTTGGAGGCTTTGTCTATGTAGGAACTAAAACATTTATTCTGTTTTTTTTTTTTTCCAAAACCACAACGAGGTAACATTACACGCCAGTCAGGATGGCTGCTATCCAAAAGTCTACAAGCAATAAATGCTGGAGAGTGTGTGGAGAAAAGGTAACTCTCTTA